GGAGGCTTCACATACGATATTTCACACATGGCTGGAATTCGTTAGCGGACAGAGCACACATTTACAAAATATTTATCGTTCAGCAGAGCGTGCATGCATATTCGATTCCGATTTAAAGGGGTCGATTACGGAGGACAACCGAACTTCAGTTGGTTGGCCAGTGGCTGAAATGGTATTACCGATGGAAACTAGTAACTGAAAGCTGGCAACTAAGTTGCTATATTGGCAAGCGCGTTTTTGTGGCTGCCGGGAATTTTTGATTGAGATACTTTATTTCTATTTTCAACTTTTTTTTAAATTGTACCACCTTGAACTTTATGAAACTTAATTATTGCTATTCATAATAAAAAACATTTTCATTTCAGTGGCGCTGTCCATCGGCAACCTAACTGAGGTTNTTGTATCACCTTGAACTTTATGAAACTTAATTATTGCTATTCATAATAAAAAACATTTTCATTTCAGTGGCGCTGTCCATCGGCAACCTAACTGAGGTTCCGTTCCCATCCATAATTGATCCATAAGTCATAATCGCACGAACTAATCAAGGCTATCATAGAATCCATCGCAGTCCGATTTTTCGTGAAATCTACGAAAATGCTATTAAGTTCGAATAGCTACGAACGCAGCGCTTGCTTTGAATACACACGTTCATAGCAGTTCAGATTCAGTGATCGCTTTTTCGTAGATTTTAAGAAAAATTGGACTACGATGGATTCCGCCACCAATATGTTTTCTCCTTTGACAAGATGTTGGAGAATCGCGGCAGCACAGCCGTATACCTACTCTATGCTCTTACGCGCATATGCTAAATTTCTCGCACCTAGCTAAAGTGCTTGACAAATGCAGAAGGCATATCTTCAACATTATAACTTAAAGTGAAAAAGTTTAAGGCATGCAATAAAAGAATCAACAGAACCAAAAAATGTTCTCAAAACTATTAAACAAAAAATTGCACGAATAAAATTCATAATTTAAAATAAAATATCGCAATTGTTTTTTATATGTACATACATATTTACAAAATGAATCTTAAAGCACCCACAGTAAGTCCTAAACATATAAATGACTAATAAGAAAAATAATAAATAACAGTAATATGAAAAAGTATGTCGAGAAATCTCTAAATAGTAGCGAAACTGTATCTCAATAATAACAAATAATTTTAAGCAAAAAATACAACCGACTTCAATGCGCATCCAGGTCGTTCTGGCTACGTAGATCCGACTGTCCTCCCTTTTTTTTAATTCGTTAAAAAAAAATTAATACGTATTCTACAGAAAAAAATCAAGATACATATTTAAGGATTTTAAGTAAAAACTTGTTCGTGATATCTTGACCAAGGTGTATTCATGGTACAAAAATCTGAAGGTAAAACCGTTGAAAGGCAGCCTTAACATTTTTAAAGTTTGCTAACATTACAAAAATGTTTTCAATTTTCCAAATCTCATAAATACATTCTCATTATGTCTCAAATAAATGAAAATTTCAGTATTTTCATCTATTTGTTTTTCGTTTTACCTTTATTTGGCATTTGAGTTGCTCTAAAAATTTCAATTTTATAAAATAGACAAACTTCAAAAAGTAAATGATGGCCGACGAATTGTGCAAGCGGTTTTACCTTTAAATATTTGTATCATGGGTGTATTAAACAAGGGGCCGTATGCATAAAACCTAAGCAAATGCTTTTTCTTAAAATTTCAGACCTTTCACTCAATTTTTTCAAAAAAATTTAAGTGAAAGGTATGAAAATCTGAGAAAAAGTAATTGCTTAGTTTTTATGCATACGGCCCAAGGTGTTATAGACAACTCAGTGCGGCTCTCTTTTAAGCTACTATTATGTAAAAAAATATAAACAAACGATTCAAAATTCATACAAATTTTTTTCAATTTGACTTTATAGGATGGTTCTTCTGAGAGCAATGTCAAATTCAATCACACTTTGTTAAATACATTTTGATCTCTACCAAATAATGTACTTCCTCTGTAAATATTTTATGAAGTGTTCCAAAATTCGCTCCGAGCGCGCTCACTGTTGATCATTTGATTTAAATAGTTTGTCAAACAATTAATACTATAGTTTGATCGGAGTTAATATATTCTTCAGTAAATAATTATATTATATTAAAACATAAGCTTATGAGAAATTATTTAGTCGTAACATGCATATTTTATATAGTGTTCCAAAATTCGCTACGAGTGCGTTCACTATTGATCTTTTGATTCAAATATTGTTTGTCAAGCATTCAGTAGTGAAGTTTGATCGGAGTTTATATATTATTCAGTAATTAATCATATTAAATTGAAATATAAACGTATAATACGGTAGAAAGTTAGAAATTATTTAGTGTTAATATGCATAATTCGCTCCGTGTTCCAAAATTCGCCCCGAGTGCGTTCACTATTGATCATTTGATTTAAATAATTGTCTCTCAAGCATTCAGTGTTATAGTTTGATCGAAAATTATATATTCTTAAGTAATTGATCACATTTTATTAAAATATAAACGTTTAATAGTGTAGAAATTGTGAAATTATTTAGCTTTAGCATGTATAGTCGGCCAGAGACAATTGCAGAAAACTGCAACCACTCGTGAAAACTTGCAATAAAAGCAATGTAGATGAAAGTACTAAATATTATTATTAAAATTAATCCATATAAAAAAACATTTTACATCATGTATTTGAAGTAAATCGGAATATATTTTTACATATACGATAGTTTCCATTTAACTCATAAAGTACATATTTCACTACAAATATTTTTAAGATCATTTCGAATTGCAAAAATAGCGCTAGTTAGTTGTATTGAAGTATAAAACATTAGGGGTATTCTCGAAGTCTTGCACGATGCACGGATTGCACGAAATGCAAAAATACTATTCCAAATTTCGAAGAGTACGAGAACACCCCATTGCAAAGAGGTAGCATGCATGGGGAGCAAGCAGCGAAATTATGTATCAAATACAATAACAAGAGACAGCAAAAAAAAATTAAGTGAGCGAGATGAGAGGAATGAGAGAAATATGTAGCAATTCCAACAACAAAACAACTAGCACAGGGTCGCTATTATCTTGCTATGCTATTTTGCAAAATATATACATGGGTTTCGACGTTGCATATTTTGCAGCGATAGGAAATGTTGTTTCCCATGAATTTTCTTGTTGTGTGTTTGCAATTTATGCAATCCGTGCAATCCGTGCTACGTGCAATGGCTTTGCAAGATTTGGAGAATACCCCTATTTTATAGCGTTCATGTTTACTTATAAAGCGCATAACAATATTTCTCTCGCCACATATCCGATATTAAAATTTTTCACCACATTATTTTGCTGAACAGCACCCTGAAAGCGGCAAAACAGTTGCTGGCAACCCTCAAGTCCTTTATGGGGACCAAATTAACAGCCACAACAACAAAAACCTTTTCTACTGGTATACTGTTTTTTCCTTCAAAATCAATGCTTCGATAAATAACTGTAAACCATAAAAGTAGCGCTGCCATGGTATAGCGAAATTTGCTTTTATATTTTGGTTAGAATATTTTATTTAGGCGAAAGTAAAAAAAAGTGTGTAGTGTAAACTGAGTGTAATAGCGCAAACGAAATGTGAAATAAAGTGGCAATACCAGCGATTTGAGGTTATAATAATTTTGGCAGGCGCAAAGTTTGTTTACTCTGTTTTATTAACGAAATATATCAAATGAAGGTGAATAAATGATTTTGTTCGCATAAAACAATAACCGGAGACGTTTTAAGGGACAAATGCAGTTGGTCTACAAATCTCAAAAAAAAAAAAAAAAATAAAAATTGGAATCGATATAGATGATTGAGCTCAGTATAACAGTATACTTCTTTTTTTGGGCAGACAACAACAACAAAAATTATCAAAGGTTAAAGTTCAAAATAAGCAATTTTTGAGATCAATATTTCTTAAAAACGAATGGATGGATCTTGAAAATTTTGATCTCATTTAATAGGAAATTTGATTCCCTTTGATTTGGATACGTACTCTATATATATGTTGGATAGTTCTTACACTCTATACTCTATATACATATATGTTGGATAGTTCTTACAAAAATTGAATTAATGTTAAATAATTATTAAAAAAAAACGCCTTTTGCAGAGAACACCTTTATGCGTAGGCGGCCTTCGGCCGCACTTAGGGATTATAACACTCACAACGTAGAATTATCTTTCTGTGTTGCGAAGAAAAGGCACTGAACACCTTTGGCAGAGAACACACCTTTCTGCGTAGTCGGCCTTCGGCCGCACTTAGGGATTATAACACTCACAACGTAGAATTATCTTTCTGTGTTGCGAAGAAAAGGCACTGAACACCTTTGGCAGAGAACACACCTTTCTGCGTAGTCGGCCTTCGGCCGCACTTAGGGATTATAACACTCACAACGTAGAATTATCTTTCTGTGTTGCGAAGACAAGGCACTGAACACCTTTCTGCATAGGCGGCCTGCGGCCGCACTTAGGGATTATAACCCTCACAACGTAGAATTATCTTTCTGTGTTGCGAAGACAAGGCACTGAACACCTTTCTGCATAGGCGGCCTGCGGCCGCACTTAGGGTTTGTAAGCTTTTTTATAATTATTTTACATTAATTCAATTTTTGTAAGAACTATACAGCATGTATATAAAGTACGTATACCAAATTAAAGGGAATCAAATTTCCTTTTAATGAGATTGATTTCAAAAAATGCTTATTTTGAACTTTAACCTTTGATAATTATTGTTGTTGTTTTCCCAAAAAAAGAAGTATACTGTTATACTCAGCTCAATCATCTCTATCAATTCCAATATATTTATTCTTAATTTGAGATTTGGAGCCCAACTGCATTTATGCCGTAAAAATGGTACATTTAAATAATGTAGGTAGACCCAAGGCAGAACTACCAATGAAGTGGTAAGTCCGTGCACCGGTATAAACACACTTTGTGAAAGCGATATATGCAAAAGATTTGCTGTTTGTTAAAGTACCGGTTTACCTTTTCGATTTCCTGTACCAAAAACACCATTTTTTCAGCTCCTGATAAAATGCCATGCATTATTACTAGTGGCCTGAAAGCACAACCACTGCAAATTAAATCTAAAAGCAAATACAGTACCAATTTCACTGAATACATTGCAGTTACTTGTAGGAATTAGAGGTGAAGTAGGGATGTCGAAAAAACGTCGATGCATCGAAAATATCGGTGGTTTTTTCGATACATCTAACAATTTCACTCGATGTAGGCATGGTCGATGGAAAAGTGTCGGAAAAATTTTAGAATGGTAATCCCCGATTACGGAATCAAAACTATGTTCACATTACCAACATAAAATACTTAGTTTCGTTTAAAATACCTCGCAAAATTAAGTGCGTTCATACACGCGATTCTTTATTTGTCTTGACAGCTTTGTAGCAACCCTGTGTTATTGTTTATTTAACCAAAAGATATCGCGAATGTGAGTAATTGCGTATATTTTTATATTCTAAGTGGTTTGTGGTAATTTTTTAGATTTTAGATGAGTGATCAAAAGAGAAAGCTTCTGGAAATATTTTACAAACTACCACGCGCGATTATTAAAAACAAATACGTCCAAACACAATGACATATCAGTTCACGGTGCAGCGAACAAAGGTGGCGCCGTCAGTGGTACCGCTACTTTGGTTTTGCCGATTTTGACAGTTGTGGTAACTTGTAAATAAACCGTTGTTTACAAATCAGCGAAGAAGAAATTTGAATTATAAGTGAAAAATCAGTTTAACTTGTGTTAATTGCAATTTTTGAGCGATTTTTGAGTTGGAGACTGCGTAAAAACTAACACAATGAAGTGCCGTGTGTTAAATTGCGACAGCCGTCNCAGCCTCAATTGCGAAGCAATGGAGTGCACTAAAATGTTCACTGTTCTCTAATAGATTAGGTGAAAAATGCAATATTTTCGTATTTAGCAAAATTAACACACGTTTTTCACTGTAAAGTGAACTGTTTTGGCAGTTTCAACTCGTTCTCCTTTTCGCTCTATTCTTTGTTTACTTGTGGTACACAAATGTCAACGCCCAGGACGGCGCAATCTTATATTCTATCATTCTTGATATCAGTTATGGGACCATACTTTTTCGATTATTATCGATAAAATTAGATCCGACACTGATTTGTTCGTGATTTGGTTGTTGGTTTAAGATAAACTACGTACTTTCAACTTAATTTACTGAGAGACTTTACAAGGCGAAATTACTTGTTTGTACTTAATTTATGCGTTCATTCCTTATCTTTTTGGACTAAAATCTGAAAAGTGTCAAAATGCCAGAGCGTAAGCAAAATGCGCTCACTAAAAGAGAATAACAGGAAAAGTAAAGGAACGCAAAAAACCAAATTTTTAGTCCAAAGAATGGCAACAACAAAACTAACGTCAAATATGAATGGAAATGTATGTACAAAACACATTCACACAAGCACAAGCACAATAAACACTTACTATATCAATTATTTTTTGCCTCCTTCCTATTTCAATTCACTTTTTTTACTTTTTAGATTATTCTCACTTTTTGCATATTGTTGTTGTTGTTGTTGTTGTAGCGGCTACAACAACCCCGCCCAGATCGGTTGGTATCTCAGTCGTTGTCGTCAAGTTCCACTAACGGCAACCCTAGGAAGCGTGCAGCTTCTGTGGGATCTGTCCACAGGGACAGGGCCGTTAGGGTTGTCGGGTTTTCCGGGCATGCGAAGAGATGGTTCGAGTCATGTGGGGTCTCTCCGCATGCCGGACATTCGTTCGGCACATCCTCATTCAGCCTACTCAAGTAGGAGTTTAACCTGCTGCAGTAGCCGGAGCGAAGTTGAGCGAGTGTAGTGCGTGTCTCCCGAGGTAGATGAAGCTCTGTCTCGTCAATGTCCGGGGGTGGTATGCCTAGGACGGCATTCACAGGTCTAGAGTCTACATAACTCGAGACTGAGTCCCTGTGAATGCCGTTCAGGGCCTGTCTGTACGCTGTCGGGTCCAGAGGTTGCTTAATGAACCTCTGGACTTCGTCCGTCAGTTCATATAGATGCCTCCTGACGTGCCTAGGCGAGGGCTCCTCTGCAAGCAGCTGTCTGTTTGGGTGGCCACTTCTGTGGCTCCCGATCAGGAACTGCTTGCAGAGCATTATGTTGTGCTCCTTAACTGGGAGCATTTGCGCCTCGCCGTGCAAATGGTGTTCTGGCGACATCAGGAGGCATCCCGTCGCTGTCCTAAGTGCCGTATTTTGTGCCGTCTGTAGCATCGTCCACTGCGTCCTACTAGTCCCTGGCGACCACACTGGCGCTGCGTAGTTCAAAACCAGCCGGCCTATTGCCTTGTATGTTGCCAGCAACGTTTCTTTGTCTTTGCCCCAAGTACTGCCGGCTAGCGACTTGAGAACCTTGTTGTGGCTCTGTACTTTATTGACAATAGCGGTTGAGTGCGCAGAGAAGGAGAGCAGGCTATCGAATGTTACTCCGAGTATTTTGGGGTTATTCACCGTCGGAATTGGTGTGTCATCGACGTGAATCCCCAGCGGTAGCCTGACCTCCTTCGTCCAGGTTGTGAACAGGGTCGCGGAGGATTTCGTAGGGGAGAGGGCTAGACACTTTGCGGTGAAGAAGCGAGAAAGTTCGGAGAGATAGCCGTTTACTTTCAAACACAGGTCATCAATTCCATTCCCAGTCGCCATGATCGAGCAGTCGTCGGCATAGGAGCCAATCGAGACTCCCTCTGGTGGTTGAGGGAGCTTTGAAATATAAAAGTTAAACAGTAGCGGGGAAAGGACACCACCCTGAGGAACCCCCTGTTTTATTTTTCGCTGCTTACTCGTTTTGTCTCTAAATGTTACCGACGAATGTCGACCACTCAGATAATTTGCCGACCACCGTTTGAGCCTCTGTGGGAGAGAGGAGGCCTCTATATCTTCTAGCAGCGTGGAATGGCAGACGGTGTCAAACGCCTTTGACAAGTCCAACGCTACTAGAATCGTTCTCTCACAGGGACGGTTGCGGTTAAGGCCACGAGTTATCTGAGTGTTTATGGCGTTAAGTGCTGTTGTTGTACTGTGCACTTTACGGAAACCATGCTGATGCTTCGCTGGGGTCAGGTGGTTTGTGAAGTACGGGAGTAGCAAGGCCTCGAGTGTCTTCGCTACCGGGGAAAGGAGTGTAATCGGACGATACGAATCTCCTTTGTTGGCGGGTTTCCCCGGTTTGAGCAGTGGGACCACTCTCCCCACCTTCCAGATGTCTGGGATGATGAGAGTGGCCATTGACAGGTTGAGGACCTCCGTTAGGAACGCTACCCCCGCAGGACCCAAATTTTTCAGCATCAGCATGCATATTCCGTCGGGACCCAAGCTTTGGAGGCTTTCGCCTTCCCGATGGCCACCTGAACTTCACCGCAAGTGAAAGCAAGGGGGGCACAATTTGTTGGCAGTTTGTGCAGCCTTCTGGTCACTCGACGCTTGGCTTTGTCTACCGGAGGATGCAGTATGAACTGCCGGCTAAAATAGCTCGCGCATCGCTCCGGGTCCGACGAAGCATGGTCGTCGAAGGAAATTTCGACTCTGTCGTCGTGCTTCGTCGGATTAGACAATGACCTCACGGTTGACCAAAGCTTGCTCACACCAGAGGTGAAATTACAAGTCTTCAGGTGCTCCTCCCACTTCTTCCGCTTATGTACGTTTACAAGTTGCCGAATCTCCGCGTTGAGATCCCTGATGCGGGGATCTCCGGGATCGGCCTGACGAAGGCTATCCCGCTCATCAGCTAGAACAGCCGCTTCGGCAGGGAAGTTTGGACGTGGGTCCGATATGCATCCTGCCGGTATGAAGCGAGCTGCAGCAGCAGTGATAGCCCTGCGGAACTTACGTTCACCGAGGTGGACGTCGGTTGGTGTGGGGAGCGCTGCGAAGGTGTTTTCAGTAAACTCCGCGTAACCTTTCCAATCAGCTTTGGAAAAGTTGATATAGGTCCGGTGTTTGGCGGAGGCAAAGTCGGTTGGTTTATCAATCGAGATGACTATGGGTAGATGGTCTGATGCTAGAGTCAGCATAGGTCGCCACGTTATGCTGTTTATCAGACCAGCGCTGACTATTGTGATGTCTGGCGAGCTACTGCAGTTACCCATAATCCTGGTGGGTGCGTCGTCGTTCATTGTGCAGAATGTCGAATCGTCTATCTGCTCTAACCCCGTTTAGGTCGGCGAAGTATCTCAGAAGTTGTCCGTCCATAGGGCAACATTCACTACTTTTTGCATATTCTTTAATTTCCGTTAAATTAAATTTAGTTGAGTTTGACACTTTTCAGGATTTTGCCAGAAAAAATTCTTCTGATTAAATCTGACTACTTCGGACTGATGAGAGTCACTCTCACTGGGTGTTGCTCTCTCATTTTAGCTGTCATTTCCGAGTTAAGGAACGCTTTTTGGACTAAATCTGACTACTTCGGACTTCTTCTGACTATTTCTGGGAGATAAGGAACGCTTCTAAGGAAAATAGGTGGTTACAGGGGGTTCTAAAGGGGTATATATAAAGTTTTAAAGCGCGGAACCTTATGGTTTTTAATTAATTTGTTATTAATGTTTGTAATTTTCACCAACTTTTATGGGAATATTTCACAATATATAATGCACTTTCCACTAAATTTACACGTTATTTACACTCAATATATGCGCAGTAAGAGGGTGCACGTTCAAACAAATAAATACTTTAAGGGCCGTTTGCACCATGTCTAGTTAATTCTAACTCCCAGTTAAACATCTTTATCGACGTTATCGACACCAATCATATAACATGTGATCGATAAAGCAGTTAACGTGCTTAACTGAAGGATGTACCTCCAGTTAGCGTTAACTAGACATGGTGCAAACGGCCCTAAGTATATTACAACTTTTTTATCAAAAATTGATTGTTGTTGTTTAATTTTATGAGTGTACATGCAGAATATGTGCAAATGCCAGCAGGACTGTGTTGCCATATCTACAAAAACCAAGAGTGGAAAGCAAGACCAAAAGAAAATACGATTAAAAGGAAAATACGATAAGGTTCTTTTGTTCAGATAAAAATAAATAGTAGGGGGATTGGGGTCATATTCCCCCATAAAATACTGAAACACATTTTTAAGGCTTATATGTATATTTTATTGCGTCAATAAGTTTGAGGGAAGGGTCCTCATGCTTACGAGCAATTGTTTTGCGCC